TTTCTACTGCTACAGAAAGATCGAGACGGGTAGTCCTGTTAGTCTATCTCCATAGAAGGCACCACATTTAGCCATACAGATATCTGAAGAAGCGAGCAGTGACTCATGAAAGCTCCTCCCCTGCCACCAATTTTGGAGGAGGAAGAGGAGGTTGGATTTACACTCTGCCCTTCACTTGGGAGTCTGAGAGCGGCTTACAAACTCCTTTCCCTTCCCCTCCCCACAACAGACACCCTGTGAGGTGGGTGGGGCTGAGAGAGCTCTTGAGAGAAACTGCTCTTTTTCAAGGACAGCTGTGCCAGAGCTTGTGACTGACCCAAGGTCACATCAGCAGGTGCAAGTGGAGGAGTGGGGAATCAAACCCGGGTCTCCCAGATTAGAATCCGCACACTTGACCACTACACCAAACTGGCTCTCTTTTTGTTAGTCTTCCAAGGTGCTCCTGGACTCTTGCTCTTTTCTACTCCTACAGTCAGACTAACACGGCTACCCATCTTGATTTATCTCCATAGAAGGCACCACATTTAGCCATACAGATATCAGGGACTCATGAAAGCTCCTACCCTGCCACCTATTTTGCTCGTCTTCAAGGTGCTCCTGGACTCTTGCTCTTTTCTGCTGCTATAGGCAGACTAATATGGGTACCCAGTATGATCTACATTATCCACTGCGATATCATTACACAAATCACAACTGTGCGAAATAACAGACAGTTCGAAAATCACACTGTTTTCTGCATTACTCAACCATTCAATTTAAATCTTCAGTCAAACACTGCCGACTTTCTTCTTCATGCTTCGTATTCTCAAAATACTGCAACGCAGTTAATTTTACCATTCACAGAGTACCGTGAACTTTAGGCAGTCTTTTAAAATAAAAATAAAAATCAGGAAGTTGTATGGGTGTTTCAAGTCCTAGCGATTTCTGCATCAGGCTTTTTTAAAAACAAAAGTTGTCCTACAATCCCTTTGCGTATGGAGGGGGGGCACATACAGATGAAAAAGAAGAGTTTTGGATTTATACCCCGCCCTTCACTATCCAAAGGAGGCTCAGAGCGGCTTACAGTCTCCTTTCCCCTCCCCTCCCCACAACAGACACCCTCTGAGGTAGGTGGGGCTGAGAGAGCTCTGAGAGGAACTGCCCTTGAGAGAACAGCTCTGAGAGAACTTGTGACTGACCCAAGGTCACACCAGCTGGCTGCATGTGGAGGAGGAGGTGGGGAATCACACCCGGTTCTCCCAGATCAGAATCTGTGCTCTTAACCACTACACCAAACACACCCCAAAATCCAACACTGAACTTTGACCCCCACATCAGAAAAATAGTACAATTTTCTGCACCGAACACAGACCCCCTTGCGGATGTCGTCAGCTTGTTCTTTCGCAGGTCTCCCCAGGAGGCTTTACCTGTGCTGCCGGAGGAGCTGCGGCGGATGCCTGAGGAGCGGGAGGGGGGACCCCTGGATGCGGCTGTGCAGGAGCTTGTCCCGCAGGCTGAGGTAGTTGAGTGGGGACGTTGAGCAAGGGGCCGGTGGGCTCAGCTGACGGGAAGAGCTGGAAGGACAAAAAGCAGAGGAGAAAGAAAAGATTTCAGGCAAAAGCAGGACAGCCGAAACCCACTTGCCCAAAAAAGCTTTCCCAAACAGGGCAAAGGCATTTGTGCTTCCAGCACCCTCGAGTGGGGGTCAGGGCATACGTCAGAGTCAAAAAAACGCACAACCATTCAAAACCTCCATGGACGAAGCACGCGGGTCCCTTGTTGAACTGGTCGGAAGTTGGCTGGCAGTTTTCCTTTTGCATAACATTGCATAGTCCTTGTAGTTTACAATCTCTCCTTATATATAACTGAATAGTGGGTGCCAAAGTTCTAATTCTAAAATGCACTCCCTTAGTGTATGGCTGATGGCACTGCTCCTCAGCATATATCGCCACCAATCAGAAGGCAAAGCCCGGGTCCCGCCCACACCACAACTGCTGCGACAACCTGGTCTTTTGCATATGGAAGCTGATTGGACTTCACTCCATTCCACACCTCAAACTCCCCCCCCCCCGACAGGCAGTTGGAATGTCAGTTGCATATGGAACCTGCTGTATTCTGGTGGTGTGCAGGTCCCAGGTTCATGTTTTAAAAGCAGACTGACACTGTTTGCCCAAAGCCAGAGCACTCTCCCAGAGCCTCTTTCTAGATCCCGTTGTATTTATTTCCACAACGGCCCTTATTTCTAGTTTCCAATATAAAGTACAAATAAGATGTAGACATAAATTTGTCATATATCTCATATACATAGCAAAGCAAAGTCTTTATGATTAACATTTTTCGATACAGAATTCAAATTAATCTAAAAATAAATTCGTCCTACCTCTAATATCATCTACTAGCATTCCATTCTTTAATAACTAACTTTTCCCTATCTTTAGCCAGTCGTACACTATTCCTTATCTATTCCAAAAGAAACCCCTCTTCTGGTTCCTTTTTTAAATTATTATTCAGTTTGTCCATCTCTGCTACTTCTAAGATTTTATATTTCAATTCTTTTATGGATGGTAAACTGGAAAATAAATTTATATAAAAGAAGTGGGCTGGCAGAAAAGACCACCCTGACAGCTGGAGGGAAAGGGGTAGAAAACTCACTCCGGGTTTCTGAGCCTCGCCTTAGGGCAAGTCTTCAGGGATCCTCCTTGGCTTTAGGAGGGCGGACACTGTCATGCGGGCTATGCCACACTGCCAATGCTCCCGAGCCTTTGCCCTGCAAATCCGCTCGTCTTTGCAAGGCGAGATTCGGTTACATTTTCCGAGATACGCCGTGGACTCTCCTCTGGTCGTCACAATGTTGGATCCGAGGTTCTTGGGGCGGAGCTCAGTTCGCACAATGCATTTTTCTGCCCCTCGTGCACCTGAAATGCTGCCTCGTGGTTCGGGGAACCCCCAGGAACAATCCCGGGCAGGCCAGAAGTGGGATGATGTGCAGGTCAGAATGGGAGAACCAGTAAGTATTACCTCCCTCCTTTGCTAGCAAATGTACACTCGGGCCCATGGAACTACTCCATGAGATCCAACACCTGGTACTTTGCTTTGGCCTTTATCCTAGATTGGACCTGCCCCGAAAATATTGTTGGTTCTGGCACAATTTGGTGTAAACAAGCTTTCTTATAAACCATAAATGAAGCTCGTTTAAGATAGAAGCTTTTCGTCTCCTGCCTTACAATGATAATTGTGTAAAACTGCACGGTGTGCCTAGTAGGACAACCAAAAGAATTACTTGATATTATTGGCATTTTGCTTTCTTGCCATTTCTGCAAAATCCACATCGTCAAAGGGCAGGGATTAACATTCTGGCGACCACACGTACAAAGACTTCCTCGCCAGTATTACTACCGCTAATTCTGCAATAACGGGTTAGGAATGGATATCAATAAAAAGCTGTTTTGCCTACAGCATTTAAAAATGCTACATTATTTGTTAACTAAGCACCTAAGTACTTTGCAGAACGTAAAAACACAATCCCAAAGTGACAACGAGACAAAATTATGAAGAGTTGGAGCAACAATTTACCTCTGAATTCTGAGAAGATTCTTTAACTCTGGGAGACTGAAAAAAGAAAAGCAAAAACAACTGTCGTTAGCATGCAATCAGTATTCTCTGTAAGCTGTGCACGTGAGCGGCCGTTCATTAACACAGGAGGCCCCGCTCGGCAACAGTCTGGAGCCACGCAGGGTCTTGCACTGCCCATTGCTCATTTTAAGATTACAGCAGTTACACTCTGCTTTGGATGT